TTGGAAATGTAGAGAAGGTCAGAAGGAGGAACGTCCAGCCGAATTCTTACTACACTCACAGACCTGCAACTAATGATTATGTAGGAAGTGAGGGAGAAACATGACTACATGATGGCTCCACGGATTTTATGTATTACTTTTAGAGATCTCTGTAGATGGCTCCACTTGTCTCTTATTGGTCCAGGATGATCACTGTCTATTGTGTAAAAAGTGGATCAAGCGTATGAGGCCTAGAACAGAGCACATCACTACATCAGGGATTTCTGCCAACCCCCCCCCCCAATCCTTCCCAATCTGGTATTATGGTGGTTGGAGGAGGATGAGAACTGTAGTCCAGCCTACTGGAGAGGCAGCAGGTGAGGGAAACCTGACCTATCATATTATGCACCACAGAGGAACTTCTGCAGATAAGAGTTGGCATTGAAGCTATAGACCAGCTGCACTAAAAACCTAAATTAGTTTCACTGTGTTGCTTTGAGGGCTCTCTTTTTTCCCCCCAAAGCCCACCACGACTGTTCCACTGGGAGAATCGCTCCGGCTGCTAAGCAGGCTAACCTTGTCCGAGGAAGAGTGCAAACCAGGGAATGACTGGTTTGAGTGAAATCTTCCCCACCCCTCCTCCTCCTCCTCCTCCCATCAAACACCAGGCACGTCATACCTTTGGAGGGTGGGACTGCTCAAAGCTTTTCTATTCCTGTGCCCCCTTCTCTCCTGCCCGCTTGGGCATTTGTCCCGTTGTCAGCAGCAGCTGGGGTGACGCCACTAGCTATTTATTTAAAAGGCTGGAAACACAATATGTCCCTTGCTCCCAGGCCAGAGGCTGCAAGAACTCTTGCAGAGGGTAGGATTTGGAGACCCAGTGGATCTGGAACAGGACAGTCCTTTCAGCCATGACACAGAGGGGCATGCAGATTTTTTGCCACTTTGGGGAACTGCAGCCCATGCTTGGTCCTTAACAGAATTACCTATATAATGCACATAATACATATCCATATATCTATATCCATAATCACATTATATTTTGTGGTCTTATAGACCAGATGGGTGGGGTATGTATGTATGTATGTATGTATGTATGTATGTATGTATGTATGTATGTATGTATGTATGTATGTATGTATGTATGTATGTATAAATCAATCAATCAATCAATCAATCAATCAATCAATCAATCAATCAATCACATTTTCACTAGGTCTGTGAGTGCCCCCACCTATCTGAAAAATGTTTAGCTGAGTAACATTTTACATTTTAATTGATCGAAAACCAAAAGAAACTAGAATCTTTCTATGAAACCCAGAATGAGACTGTCTCCCTTTCTTACTGGATTTTAAACATTTCAGTTAGTGAATTGAACTTAAAAAGGGTTTTTTATCTAATTCTCACTGCAGCTGCTTTGCAAGATAACTGGAAGATGGGCAATAAAATACAATTTAATTTTCCATTACTGTACTCTCATTCTTTATTGGAATAAAAGGCTATTTCAATTTGGTTGTTCTTTAGTACTAAAGCTTTAGCACATAAACCTTCCCAGACAGACAGCACAGGGTTTTATGTACAGGATAAAACATTTTACAACCACAGGCTACACTTTTATAATATAATACAATGACACATTCTGAGGGGTGTATATTGGAGTGAGACACGAGAGGCTCACAATGGCACCACAGAAGCCATGAAGGAAGACACCTGTTATGTCAAACAGCCGATGGGCTATTTACAATCACCTGGTTTGAACAAAATGGCTCTTGGATACCAGGATATAAGATGATGTTGGGCAGAAATGCTGACCAGAATTCCTGAAGGAAGAGAGCTGTTACTATTGACAGAAATGGCTGCTGGTTCTTACAACTGACCCAAACAAGTGTGTTCAGTTCCTTTGGCTTTGTTATTAAGGCTGGAGAGAGCACTCGGTCCCCCTTTATTTCACATACATTCATTCCTGTTCCTGTTTTTCCTACCTACATTTCTTACTGTTTTTGCCATCTGGCCTGTACCAAGTACCACCACTACCTCAACTGCATCCATGTAACTACCACTGCTCTTTTTCCTCAGAGAAGCACAGCACAATTCGGCAGGTTTTTAAAGCTTTGTGTGTGTATATGAGAGAGAGAGAACAATCAGTCACATTGGTCACATAGCTGCACCATGTTTCTCTGGCATAGGTTGGCATAGAAGAAACATTAAATGCTGGTGTTTCACAATCTGAAGGCAAAACGGACAACTATAGAACTGGGGGGTTCTGAGCTATTCCTCTTCTGCCTGAGCCATTTGAGGTATCCTTGTCTATACAGAAATGCACATTTTGAGTCAGTGACCAGAACTGAACTCTGCACATGTTAAGAGGCATCATGCTGTTGTTGAAAATGAAAAATGACAGGGCCCTCTTCGTCTTCATCCCTTCCCCAAAGCACAGATTTACATAGCCAAGTATGCATAAACTGAAGGGTGTTAACTGAAGGGGTAAACTAAAGAGCTGGCCATTCCTTTGGCTTCTTGGGCCATTTATTTATATCCTAATGGAAGGGTAAGCACATGCTTCTTTGTATGGCCAGCCCAAGATATTCCATTGCCTGAGGTAAAGCGGCAAACAGCACAACCTCCTCTCAAAGTAAAAGTGTACAGCATCCTAAAACAAGTCCAAGTTATTTTCACACCTGAAGGACATTTCACAAGCATCTCACCTACTTCCTGAGAATAAAAATTCAGTCATACATGAGCATTTGGATGCCCTTTCACAGCATCCCAAATCTGCTGTCTCACTCTTTCTAATGGCATATCTGGCCGTTCTTAGCACAATGAAAATATAATTACTTTTGCAACTTTGGAATCACAAACAGTCATTTATATCAAACAGAAAACACAGAACAGCTCTGTTTCAGGTGCAAAGCCGACTGCAAACAGAGGTTACCATTTTTCCTGGTCACTTCTACTCTGCATGCCATTAAAAATAATGAGCCAGAGAAGTCCATGTGTGTTTATGTGACATCATTTTGACTTAGACACAAAGATGTCCAAGACCACCATTGTACACAGCAGCTGGAGGAGGGGATAGATTTGGAGTGAGAAAAATACCAATGTCTGTTGATCTTTCTATACAGGTAATATCTCTTTTTTTCCTGTTTTACGCTACATTTAGCATTATGGCATTCCTACATTGTGGGCAATTAAAGTCTCCACTTGTGAGATCTTCAAGGGATTAGTTGTTTTAAAATATACACTCAGGAGTGGACCTCTCTAGAGAGAAGCCATGCCCCCCCTAGGCCTTGCTCTCAAACTGACCACATACCATATGTAGTGAAACAGTTGACACTCTATTATATGTGGATCGTCTCCCTACACATGTCTAGAAGTAACTTCAAGGCAGGCAAGGCAGAACAATGAAAATTTGGCTTAAACTGTATTGGAAAACAGGGCCTGTAATGTTGCTTCACATGTTAGACAACAACAACAACAACAACAATAAATCTTAGAACTGCAGAGGTGGAAAGGGCCCTATGGATCACCGAGTCCAGCCCCTATCAAGTAGGCATAGAGGGGAATCAAACTCTCAATCTCTCTGACAAGCAACCCAACAGTTTTACCTTACTCTCAGTACTAGTGATGCGGAAGTGTCATCTGCCACACCCACGTTTTAGCCTTGTCCCATCCATGGGAATACACGGTCTGAGGTGACTGCCTCATTCTGCGTCATAATAAGGCTGGCCTTAAAAGCGATCCAGCTCCTAACCTACTGATTCAATGGGGAAAGTGCCATTGATGTGGCAGGGCCTCTGATAAATGCCCAGTTGTCCTGCCTGCTGACAAGGCACCTGCATTAAGGGAGGCAGAGTTAAACAACAACAACAACAACAGATCTGACCATTAGAGAACAATCCATCAAGAGAGTCTATTTCCACTAGAGAACAATCCATCAAGAGAGTCTATTTTGAAGGTCAGGAAGAGTATCCAGTCTCTTCACTTAGTGCTCCTCTTAGCTCCACAGCTATGAAACAAAGGCACAATCATGCAAAACAAGCAAATATATGTCATTTTTTTTCTCCAAGTGTATTTATATTTAAGCTTGTTTATTTATTTAAAATATAACTTGCACCTCATGTTACAGTTTTGGTTAAGTGTGCAAAATCACAGCATAATACAATATGAAGAGACATCAAACCTCACCTCAAAAACTGCCACATACAGACTAATGGAGTAATCAGCATATATAACAGATGAGATTGCAAGTAAGCTCTTATGCCTTATAAATAGAAATTGTGAATGGCATATACTTGCTTACCTAGCACAGTTTACAATATCAAGCAATCAGTCCACTTCAAGAGTTAGCATACTGCAGGGTTAGCACAGGCACCCAGTGACCTGTGCAGGAAGCATCCTCTCTACCCAAATTGGATTGGGGGTGAGGTACACACACCATTCAGTCACCTCTGGTAATTATGGTGTTGGGCAGACTTGAATCATAAAGTCATGAGAGTCCAGGCCCTCCGTCTCTCATCAGCCTTGCCAAATTCACAGGGTTGATGTGAAGATAAATTGAGAAAGAGGAAATGGGATCTATATACTGTACCTTTGAACTCACTGAAGAAATAATAATAACCATGTGCCATCAAATGAGTTCTGATTTATGGCTACACTTTTCAGGGGTTTCCAGGTAGAGAATAAGCAGAAGTGGTTGGCCATTCCCAAACCAAATAAGAGTCTAGGTTATATGACCAGCTTGCTCTCTTCATTCATAGATAATGGGAAGGCTTTTAGACTGGAATGTGAATTCACATGAATTTCCTCTGACTTATAGTCTTCAACGATTACTCCCAGACCAAATCTATACAAACAAGTACAGTACAGTATATAAATTCTAAGAACAAAATGTGTGGCAGCACAACCTGTGCCCCACAATTTTTGTAACATCCCATCATGCCACTTTTTCACCTTCAAAAAATATTCCAATTTCTGTACAGAAGAGGGGTGGGAACCTCAAACTAAGTCCAGATCCCACTTACCAGAACGGAACTTGCTTCGGATCATCATCGATCGTTCAGAAGCCAGAAGCGTCATTTTTGCAGTTCTTCCAGTTGCAAACCCAAATCTGAGGTAGGCCCCCGTGATATTCAGCATAGGGAGAGGACGAAAACAAAAGAGATCAGAAGATTAGGAAAAGGAGAAAGAGACATTCACCCCTCCAGGAAGCCCACTGGGCTTCACTTTGTGTCACCCTAAGGTGTTGTTAAAAACTACACAAAATGCTGAACCGAAAGGCCCTACAGAGGTATTTTCTATGGACAGCCTACCTCACTGGGCTGTTGTGCAGGTTGTGCAGATAAAAGGCAGGAGGAGAAAGCCATCCATGTCACCCTCAGATATACTTGGCAAAAGGGGTCATGTAAAATGCAACAACAAACACAGCTACTGTACCTTATTGGCCTATTAAGGAGGGTGGAACTTGGGGGGAAGGAGTGTGTAGGTGATCCCCAAGTTCTCCCGAAGAGGAGTGAGACAAAAATAAGGATTTTTGCAGCTTGGCCACTGGGAAAGAATTCAATAGGTGAAGCGATCCCTGGCTTCCACAGGAACTATTAAGGAGCGGGATTCACCTGTTGAGTTTCTGTCCCGTTTAAAGGTACCGTAACCTCACTTGCAAAGAGGTGGGAGTGGCAATCCTATTCTCTTGAATCCCGGATGATCTGCCCTCCTCGGACAGATCCTGTATCCCGGACTCCACTCCCGCAGCCCCCAAAGCCCTAGTTTCTCTCGGGAAACCCAGGGGGTCCTCCTGGATCGTCCCTCCACCACCGCCACCGACGCCAGCCTGCCCCCGGGCGGCAGCCCCTTCCATGCCAGTCGCCCCCTCGTCCAGGCTCACCGGAAAGGGATCAGAGCGGGTCCTTCTCTTCTTGCTGATGCCGGTCCCTGACTTCGGGGTGGGGGGGCGTTGGGAACCGTCGGCCCCCCGACGGCTTCTCGGGGAGGGTCTGCCGGTGGCCTCTCCGCGCAGGACGGGGGTGGCGGGGGTGGCGCTGGTGGCGGCGTCCTTCTTTTCCTCGCTGCCCAGGTGAGGATGGCACCGGCGGGCGAGCCGAGCGCAGGAACCTGCGGAGAGGGTTGGGCCGAGGGCTCTGCCCCCCCCGGGTGGGGGTCAGACGCCACCG